GCATAAATCTTAAAATTTCCAAGTATTACTCTATGTGTTCAGCATATATACAGATATTTTGTTTTTATTTAGTTCAACATCTCTTTCTTCTCTTCCTATTTCTAGTTTATGTTTCCTGATAATTCTGAATAATTCTCCTGAAATAATTCTCATCAGAACTGGAAACCACTTCTTGTAGTAATGTCTTCACGCCTCTCATTCTGTCTCCAATCCTTTCTTGACTGTCTCTCTCCCTTTTTTGATGTAGTGTAAATCAGTTCTAACTCTCTCACACCACACGGATGTAGAATTTGAAGCTGATGCTGTGTTGATTTAAATAAGAATGAAGGAGATTAGGCTGATGGTGCAGGCTTGTTAATCCAGCACTGTAGAAGCTAAGGTAGGAGGGGCACTTGGAGGTGGAAGCCAGCCTTGGCTACATTGTAAGTTTCAGGCTAGCCTAGGCCACATAATGAGTTTCAGGCCATCTTAGCAAGTGGAACCCTCTCTTAAATCCTCCTCACAAACAACAACAAAAGAATGAAAGGCAATCATGCTTTTTCATGTTCTTTCCTATAAAACACCTAATTATAATTGAAAATCTGGAGATGAATTAAAGTCCAACATTTTAAGAATGTTTTCAGAAATTCAGAGCCAGGTATGTGCTGCATACCCATGATCCCAGCACTTGAAAGGCAGTGTGGTAAAATATAGTGAAAGCCGGGAAATACAGTGAATCAAAATTTCCCCGTTATTAAAGCTTTATTTTCATCATTTCAGAATTATTTTCTAAAACTACTAGGAAAACATAAATATTAAAAGTTTTTAAAGTTTAATAACATACTAGTTAGTGATTTTACCCATGATGTCCATAAATTAGTAAAAATGATATTTTTTTTAATTTAGAATTTTGAAAATTCATAGTGTATCAAAGATAATATTTACCCAGAATTAGCATTTAAATATTTATGTTAATAGTCTATTTTACACCTTTTTAATTTCCTCTCAGCCTGTTAAATCATAAGATAGGAAATTAGAATTTGCTTCTCTTCAACCTCTTTGATTTTCCCATACTGATGAGAATTATTTTCTAGGCAAATTAACAATGTAAATGAGGTTTTAGTTGACTCACCTGAAGGATCAAATTATTTTCAGAAATGTAAGTAGAAATATTTGCATATTTTAAATTACTATATAGACGAGCCTCCTCTGACACTGAGGTGAAGACTACTTTTACAATGTGTGCCATGAGCATGCAGTCCTCCGCACCGAAACCCATGAAGGAGCTTCTTCTAAACATTGAAAGGGCATAAGTTCAGCTTGGTCTGTCCCCTTTGTGTTGTCAGTCCATTCGTTGACTTGACTATCGAGTTACATTTGAACATCTCCAGCTTTAGCACTTATTATGACTCCTTTTAAGGTTTCTCACCGTCCCTGCCCCCTTGCTCCAAGAAAGCCAAAGTTACCAGGTGTTGCCTAATGCTGAGCTCAGCTGATGGATTGGGGGGGCGGGGGGGCAGAGAGGGACTTTCCTTTGGCAATACCCCATCCTCTACTGCCAGATTCATTAATGGGACAATGACCAGTTGTCCTCACTTCTTGTAGTAGTCCACAGGTGATTTCTAAGATTTTATTTCCTTTAGTTTCCTGGGGGAGATGGACTTCTGTCATTTGTTACCGCTTGCTTTTATTTTTAGCTGTGGATTTCTTGCAATCCTGAGTAGTTAAATGGCGAGTGGCAGACTAGCTAGTTGAACATGATTTATGCACTTCTTCCCCTCCATATACATAGTCTATGTTTGTATCTTGTACCATTTCCTTTTTCTGGAATAAAAGTTTCCTCTTTTATTTATGTTCACGGATGAAAGCCCTTGTCTTTGGAATTTAACTTACTAACGGTAGTAGTGAAATGTATAGTAATCTCCAAATTAGTGACTGTATGATGCAAAGTAGAAATCAAGAAGAGAATATTTTCCACAATACATGTGTTTCTTTCACACAGACATAAAGTAGTATGCAAAGAAAGTTTGGAATGAAGCTGGCATTTTTATGAAGCTGTTTGCACAGGAAGCTCAGCAGTCTGGCCCTTCTTTTCTTCCCTTATTCTCTCTTGGGCCACCCAGTTGTTGTGTGTTCACCTGTGGAGGGTTGTGTCTATATGCTAGGAAAACAAGCACAGGACAATAGTAAGTATTTTTCTGCCAACAGATGAATGGATAATGAAAATCTGTTTATATTCAGCTCTAAAGAAAAATGAAATAAAAACTTTACAGGAAAATGGAAGGACCTTGAATGTGTAATATTAAATGAGGTCACTCATTCTTAAAAAGTAAAAATAAAAACCACATCTTTTCCGTCATATGTGGTTCCTATCCTATAATACATACATAGGTAAACACAAGTGTGGGTGTGCTATAATGTTTAGAGTTGAGAAGAAGAAAAGGCAATTTGCAAAGAAAAGGAACCTAGGTTTTGTCTGTTTTCATGGTGGCTGGTTGAGTCCAACTTTCTGCAGATTGAACTAGCAGGAATCATTTCTGTATTCCACAAGAGTCCAATGAGTACTGTCCTGTCAGGCAGTGACTGTGAGAAATGGGCTTCCTTTTTGATAACACAGACCAGTAGTGCACTGGGAATTCAGCATGACTGGACACTGATTTGTTGGATATGCTGAATGAGATAATACTATTATTCTTGGTAACTACTTTCTATTTTGTGGTAATCATCTAATTTCCTAATAAAACTTTTAAAAAATGTTTCTTTGAGCTGGGCATGCTGGTGCATGTCTTTAATCCCAGCACTCAGGAGGCAGAGACAGGCGAATTTCTGTGAGTTCAAGGCCAGCCTGGTCTACATAGTATGTTCCAGGACAGCTGGGGTATAGGGAGACCCTATCGCAAAAAGACACACAAAAAAGTGTTTCTGCTTATGGGTTCATAATTTTGGACTATTGCTGGTGTCATTCTGTTTCTGTTAAAATATAGGAGGATTTTGCAGCCTGCCTCATAGACACTGTATGACTGTAGAGAGAAGGGCTCCTACACGTTCACCCGCATTTGGGCCGACCGAAAGCAAAGGTGGGATGCTCGCCACTCACCTACGATTAAAGCTGAGCTTTCTTCTTAAACAGAAAGGGCAGTGAGAATTGCTATTCATTGACAGACCCTCAACCAAGTACAAGAATCTGATAGAAATAGGTTAAAAAAAAAAAAAGCAGAAAAATTAGGACAAGCTTTGAGATCCTCAGATAAATAAGAAAAGACTTTGCATCTCTAAAACAGAAACAAGATGCTATGAAAAGGAAAATTGAAAGAGAGTAAGCTCCTAGAAACTCAAACTGTGAAACCCCATTGTTAATCTTTAAAAACAGAAAGTTGGGAAATGTGCTTAAGTAAATTTTCTGAAAGTAAAACTAAAGAACATGCGTGGAAAATAAGACAGAAAAGGCCAAGGATCAAACTGTCAGTCTTCACCTTGGAAGAAGAGAAAGTGCTGAAGAGATAGTACAAGACAGTTTCCTACAGAAATTGTTAAAGAAATAATACAAGACACTTGCTAGATTGAAAGACCTCCAGTCTCCACACTGTGCCTTGTATAAGGACTTGAAAACCTGATCAAAGACATAATGCAGGTAGAATGTTGAAACATGGAGAATAAAACTGACACCCTAAAGAGAGCGTGACGGTGCCCATGGTGAGGAGTGTGTGTGGCCGAATGTGGCTTGCCTGGCTGACACGGGCCCCAGGTTTAATGTCCAGTGCTGGGGAAGCACGCATGAGGGTGAATCTGAGATGCCATCTTTATCTATGTGTGAGCTTTTTTAAAAAGCAAAATTCTGAGGAACAGACTTTTTTACTTAGTGTTGTGCACCGCTATACCCCTATCAGTTGCAAGGCTTACGACATGTTCAGACATGCTGAGACCATAACAAGGTACCACACTTTTACCACATATTGAAAGCACAGTCCAGCAGAGTGAGGACAGTGATGAACAGTTTCGAGAGCCCAGGCCCAGGAGAACAAGACTGAGGAGGAGAGCAAGGGGCATCAGTCAGTTTGTTGTGAAAGTGGTGCACAGCCAAAGAAAATCACAGCTGCAATTCCAGAAAGAAGAAAAATGAACTGCAAAACACTGAGTGTCTAGAAAATAAGTTCAGTTTGGTTTTCCTTTTTGCTTTGCTTTTTGGCAGTGCCCACCGTTGAACCCACGGTATTGCACGTTTGGCTAGCACTCTACCACTGGGCTGTAGCCCCTGCTCTAATGTTGATTTTTGGGAGGTCCAATGGCACTTCGAGAAGATACCAGCTTAACATCAAACACTACTAAGCAAATTTTTTGAAGAGTCAGTTACTTCCCTTAGGAAAGGTTTAATGTTGTTGAGAAATAACTTGATGGTCTATCAGTTGGCTCTGAAACTCTTTGACAGGAAGTACTATTTGTATAGCTGGAAACTGAATTGATGTTGGGGGAGGAGGAGGAGGTTGGAGTACTTTTAGGTATAACTCATTTACCATAGTACATAACAGACAAGCCCATAAATAGTACGTAAAAATCAATAAATCCAGAAAGAGGAACATAACCATCTATGTTAAAATACAGAGGAAAAGACAAGCATTTAAAAGCATTAGAAGTGGGTGCCTATGAGGATGGCCGGACATGGCTTCTCAGTATTAAGTCTTAATTCTCAGGGTTTTTCAAGACTTAGTGGATGGACTTGCACTGCGGAACAGCTGGGGACACTGACTACCTAGTGGGCCTTAACAGGGATGACTGAGTATATGGGCTCCAGTGGGGTGTTGGCTGGCTATGGGAGGGTGCCAGTGGGGACGAGGTACAAAGATGTTTAAGGTTGTTTGAGCTGTTCTGTATGAAATACACAAAAATTCAATTGAAAAAAACATTTGCAAGTGCTCTATTCTTAAAAAAAAAGTGTAATTTTAAAAAATGTCATTTAAGGTGTCAGGGAAATATAATATGGCTTGTAGTCAAGTTTTTTGCGTTTTTATCTTGCTATTTTCTAGAGTTCCTGGAATAACGATTGCTACAGATATTATCTGTGGCTTTCCTGGAGAAACCGATCAGGATTTTCAAGACACAGTGAGACTTGTTGAAGAGTACAAGTTTCCAAGCCTTTTCATCAACCAATTCTACCCAAGACCAGGAACTCCTGCTGCAAAGATGGAGCAAGTTCCAGCACAAGTGGTAAGACCTATTTACAGAAGGAGTTGCTGTGGAAATGCAGCTGTCCCTGCCTAACATCACTAGTCATGGTGTCACCCTGGGGCTACAAAATGTTAGGATCATTCCATGTTGGGCCTGGTTGTGAAAGAGCTAAATGACCATAGGCAATTAAAGATAAAGACGATCCCCTTTCCTTTGAAGAGTGGGGTTTAAATTTAGTTTTTAAATACACATCCTATGTTTGCTTGTGTGTACGTTAGATGTCTTTGAGAAGCTTCGTGTTTTGCCTCCGTGTCTATGTACAGTCTGTGCCTGCTTATCCATCGATTATCTGTTGAATTCATCTATCCATCCACCTGTCCATCCACTTTTCTGTCCATCCATTAATCTATCCACTGTTTTTCCATCGTCTGTCATCTATCTATTCATCCATCCATCCATCTATCCAAAGAAATATACACTGTATCTTCAGTGAACCTGTTTGTCATCTTTTCATATTCATAAGTATATTAGAATAATAATCCTCAAAATAAATGTGAATGAATGCAAGGTACAGTAAACGTAAAATGTTCCCAGAACACTCCCAAAATTAATCTCTCAAAAATCAATATTTAGTTTCTAGAATCATAGACCAAGTATGAAAAAGTGTAAATCAAGCCTTACCGGCTTGGGGGATGTGCCCTTGCTCCACATACGCTCATAAAGAAATGCAAAATGGAGCAGCCTAAAACTTACTGTGATTTCTCTAGTAGGCAAGATAGCATATACTTTCAGCTTCTCAGTAAGACAAGAAAAGTGTTGCCAGACATGATGGTACATGCCTTTAGAAGGCAGAGGTAGGCAGATCTCTGTGAGATTGCGTTCAACCTGGTCGATATAGCCAGTTCTAAGCCAGTTGGGGCTACAGGGAGACCCTGTCTCAAAAACAAACAAACCAAGAAAATAAAAAAACCTCTGTGTTGTGTGGGATTCTGTGTGTGTGTGTCCGTGCGTGTGTGTGTGTCCGTGCGTGTGTGTGTGTCCGTGCGTGTGTGTATGTCTGAATGTGTATGTTTTGTTTTGTTTGGAGAGGGGTGACAGGATCTTGTCACGTAGCCCAGGCTGTCCTCTCAAACTCACTCCCTTCCTGTCTTAGCTTCCCAAGTGCCAGGATTTCATGTATGTGCCACATATCATGTGAAAAACGTATATATGTGTGTACATATGTACTTGCGTATATATGTAAGTCTCTTTGCCCTAGTAAAAGCAAAGGGAATATCAATCTTTGTTTTCCCAAATTTTCTCAATTCTAATTTAACAAGCTTTCATGGAAACAAGGGTAAGAAAATATTTGCAAATAGGCTGTTTGATTTTCTTTCTAATCGACCAACAAAACCTTTCATGCCACAGATAATAAACTTTGCACAAACATAAAAACAATGGAATTTATTATCTTTTATATTTAAGTTACATGTTATTGAAATGTAGTTTAAGTACAAAATTGATGTTGTGGCACATGGTTCTGTGAATGTTGGCAAGTGGGTATGGCAGTGTACCGTGCGTAGCCATCATGGCATGGAGCGGTTCTGTGAGCACCCGAAGCTCCTCAGCCCCTGTGTGACTCTGTCCCTACCTCTCAGCCCCAGCTGTTGATGTTTCCTGCCTTCCTTCAAGTCATTGGTTCTAGCTGGTTCATCAGGATGTGTCTGAGCTGCAGCCTAGGCACAGAAGGTACAGCGTTCTGTCAGCATTCTGTCCCAGAAGGAGCCCGCTGCACTTGGCGGTTCTGTGAGCACCCGAAGCTCCTCAGCCCCTGTGTGACTCTGTCCCTACCTCTCAGCCCCAGCTGTTGATGTTTCCTGCCTTCCTTCAAGTCATTGGTTCTAGCTGGTTCATCAGGATGTGTCTGAGCTGCAGCCTAGGCACAGAAGCTACAGCATTCTGTCAGCATTCTGTCCCAGAAGGAGCCCGCTGCACTTGCATGGGCCATCCCATTAAGAACTAGAACTTCATCAGTGTGTTAGGTCTCATGAACAGATGGACCACTGTTCTGTCTCTTCCTAGGAGATTACCTTCCTTCACTCTAACAACACTGTACTTTAGTTTGACCTGCTTGTAAGCGCCATGTCAATGGAAGAACACATCCGTGTTTGAATTTAGGTTTTGTTCAGTTCCTTGCCATGACATTAGTGATTCCAGTATGTTCTGCAAAGTGGCTGCTGAAGTGATCCATTTCCTTTGTAGTGTAGTATCCCATCATAATTTCTCCATTCAGCTATTAGGGGAAAATGGACATTTTCAGTGTCTCACACTCGCCACTCCTCTGTCTTCTGTCCCTTTCATGGGTAAGCATTTCTGCTGTGTGGTCAGTGATGAGCATAACTGTGCTATCCCGGGGAATGTAGCTGATCCACTCTGCCCAGTACTAGCAGACCGCTTTCTTAAATAGTTGAATAAACTCATAATCCCAGCAGCAGTGTACAAACACGTGAGAAGACCCACATGCCGGCCAGCTCCCTGCGACCTTCCCCCTTAAATGTTGGCCCATTATACTCTGAAGGGACTGTCATGCAAGCCAACTGTGGCTTCTAGTTCCTTGTTAACTGCTAGTACTATGAGGTTGTTATTGGCTCTTTCCTCTTTTCTGGGGCGGGCCTGTCCAGAGCTTTTGCCATTAGCCTATTGGCTTCTCCCTTGGTTTGTTGCCCTCTCCCCATTCATAGGAGCTGTATTTGCATCAGTCATAACTATTGCCTTATGCCATTCTTCTATCCCCCCTTCTAGAGTGCTTCTAGAGTGATAAACACCATGACCAAAAGCAGCTTCAGGAGGAAGGGTTCTATCACTGAGAGAAGTCAGGGCAGGAACTCGAGGGAGGGAGCTGGAGGCGGGAGCTAAGCAGAGACCATTGAGGGATGCTGCTTATTGGCTTGCTCCCTGGCTTCTGCTCAGCTGTCTGCCTCATAGCCCAGGCACACCTGCCCAGGTTGGCACTGCCCACATCAGCTAGCAATCAAGAAAATGCCCCATAGGCATGGCTACAGGCCAGTCTGCTGGAGACAGTTCTCATGTGAGACTCCCTTTTCCCCACTGTGTTGACAACCAAGATTAGCCGTCACACCCGTGACCATTTTCACCCCAAGAGTGCTTTTTGGAAGACTATTCTTTTTTAAAAAATAATTCATTCTTTTTATTTTATTTTGTGTATATCAGTGTATTGCCTGCATGTGTGTAAGTGTAGCATGTCATGCAGTGCCCACAGAGGTCAGAAGAGGGTGTTGGAACCTGTGGAACTGGAGTTATGCTGGTTCTTAGCCACCATGTTGGTGCTGGGAATCAAACCCAGGTCCTCCGCAAGAGCAGCCTGTCTCTTCACTGCTGAGCCATCTATCCAGCCCCCTTGAAGACGATTCTTAAGTTAACAGAGCTTTTTTTTTAAGGTCTGACGTGTGTTTGGGGGAAAGGCTGCAGTTTTGGTATCTGGGTGTTTCCCATGAGCTACCTATCTGAGTCGGTGGTACCTGTTGAAAATCTACTTTCCTGATGTCTCTGCCTGGTCACCACTGTAGTAAGTCAAATGCCTGGCCCTGGGGGTTGGGGCAGAACTTTGTTTCTTTGCTCTGGTACTGTTTCACCATTATCCTAGTACTTCATAAGAAATCTTGGTAATGGTCATGTAGATACTGCAGCTGTTTCCTTCTTCTTCTGTCCTGCTTCTCTGTCTCCGCACTGTTGTCCTAGCCCCTGCTGGAGTTTCAGTTAAGACGACAATGATTATAGTGATCATTTTTAGCAGAAGTTGCATTGCCATATCAAGTTTTCTATTTCTCAGTGAAGGATGCATTTATTTTGACCTTCTCTAACTTTAAGTCAGTAACTTTTTTTAGTTTATTGTCTTACTAGCATTTAAAATGTTAAGTTTATTTCTAGATTCATTATGTTTTATGTTATTAATAGAATTTTAATTTTTACCATTTAGAAATATGGTTAAAATAATTTATCCTTCATTAATTGCCTAGTTGTTGTAGTTTTCTAGTAGGTTCCCCCCCCATTAAAAATGCTTACTGAATTTTTGTGTATTTCATGCAGAAAATCATCTTTAGACCCCCCACTTCCCCTTTGGCACCCTCGTATAGGCCCCGTTCCCCAACACTGGAGTTCATACATTCTTTCATTTGTGTTAAGGTTAAAGTTCGTGTCCCCAGATGTCCCTCAGTGCAAGTTCATCCACTGGGCTCTAGTCAGCTTATGTAGAGTCCTTCCCTTTAAGATCGCTCTCCCTCACTTAGCAGTAATCAGCTGCTCATTTCCATGGTTCTGTGCTGGGTTTTTGTCTGCATGAGTTTGCGTGGGTCTTGTGCTTGCTGTAGGTTCATATGAGAAGAGTCCCAGGAGCCTGTAGGAGTAGCTCTGTATGATCCTGCACCTCCTCCCTGGCTCTGCCTCCCCTTCCAAAATGATCCCTGAGCCTTAGGTGTGCGGATTTTGATATAAGAGTCCTGTCCAAGGACCACACTATGCAGACTCTTATTCTCTGCATTTTGGCCATTTGTGACTTTTTGCTTTCCTGGCCCTCTGTTGCATGAGGGAGCTTCATTGATGAGAATTGAAAGATGCATTAGTGTTCTTTTCATCCCTTGTTCTATGTTCCGTGAGCCTTATGTGCAGAGGTTGCATCCTAGAGGTGCCACTTAGGCTTGGGCAATTCACAGACAATCTCTGTGTGTGACTTGTTGTGGAACTCTGTAACTATCTCTGTCTCTTGAAAAAGAAGGTTCTTTGCTAGGTGGTGGCTGGGATACTTGTCTATAAATTTAAGGATCCATATTTTGCACATAGTAAGAAATTGCATTTGTCTAGGGATATGAGAGCCTTGGGGTTTTCTCTAAGATCTATGACCTCTCCGGCCATATGTATTTGGCTAGGTTTAGAGTACCACACATGAGTTTCTTCCCACTGAGTGAGCTTTAAGTCCAGTTAGGGAGCTGTTGATTATTCCTGAGATAAAAGTGCCACTACTGTACCAATGTCATTTGTTATGC